GAACCTATCGAGTGAAGCCTACAAATTCGATAAGAGTCCAAATAAATAGACAGTATAAGTCTTCAAATTCAATAAGAATTTTCGCGCTCCTCATAATAGACTCTCAATCTTTTATCTCTCCCCCCAATTTGGAGCATCCAAGTGCTGAGAAAGTACCGAACCTAGCATCGGCACACAACTAGGCTCTGAATAACGAAAGTATGGGTCGCGGAGAAATTGACATCTGTGCAATGAACGACTAACTAGTTGAGTGGACAAATATTTAGAAATGGTACGCGTGCCTAGTGAATTCATTTTTATATATATGCTGGTCATGTGTGTAGCTGACCGATCGCTCTCTTCTTTCTTTACGACTTCGTCTTACTTTAAGCTTAAAATCAATGATCAATGACCATCCTTCCTTTCCATAAGCTTACGAGCTCACTCAAAGGGATTGTAATTTGTAAGAATTAAGAAGATAACCCGATTTATGATCCATCCGCATTATTTTTTATTTCTGGAATGCCTAAGAAAAGGTGACTGAATGGGTGCCGGAGATTAGGGGTGGGTATTCGGTCGGTTCAGTTTCGACCGAACCGAAATTATGAATACTGGGTCCCCAAATTTTCTCAAACCTCGAACCGAATTATAATTTGGTTCGGTCGGTTTAAACTGGATTATAATTTGGTTCGGATCGGTACACAAAACCGAATTTGTGAAGCCACTTGTATCTTTTCTTTTTTAAATTATTTTTCACCCCCTAATATAAACAATAAATATGTAATTATATGCATCATCAATGATAAAATCAAACTTTTCAACATATAAGTCATAAAACATATCAAATATTTTAAGTCTAAAATCAACTACAAACATAAAAATCCACCATTTGGAGCTTGCAATTAAAGTATTTCGGTCGAAAATTCGGTTCGGTTGAAAGAACCATGGTTTCCGAACTATCCATATTGTCAAAAAAAGAACTATCCATATTTTCTTCCAAATTCCAAACCGAATAGCATTAATTAGGTTTTTTCGGTTTAATTTGGTTCGGTTCGGGTTCACCAAACCGGTTGCCCACCCCTACCGGAGATCACTCAAAAGAAAATGGAGAGAGCTGAGAGTGGTGGGCTTGGAGTTGTAACGCGGGCTCGGACAATTGTGCCGGAATGTGATCTTCTGCCTCGGCCCATATCCGTAGTTTGTCTTTGTCCTGCGCAGTTAAACATTGCGGGCTTTGGAGAGGGCCCATTGGACTGATATCCAAATTTTGGTTGGTCTCCCCCATGATTTCCATTTTCCTGCCTAAGCACTCTACAGCAATAGTTGACTTGGACAGCAGACAAAGAAAACAGAGCCTAAAAAATTGGCCCAGCGGGACTGGAAGAGTGAGAGGAGAATGTAGGCTGCTGGGCCGAGCCTTGGGGCACTATACTATAAATTAGGGCTGACAAACAGTAACCCGGTAACCGCTTTACTGTTTTACCGAACCGGTAATCGTCGGTAAACGGTAAACCGATAACCGTCGGTATCGGTATCCGATTGTGCGTGGCGACGATCCAATTTACCGGACACAGGCTCGGTATTTACCGAAGGTAATTCGGTAATATCGATATCGGACCAGTTAAGCATTAACATATAACTTATACATCATTATTCACAAATATAAAATATTACATACATGAATGTAAGTATAGGCTAAAAAATATTGTAAATAAGAGTTAATAATAAATTATTAATTACAAAAATGATGAAAAAAACTCAAAAAAATCAAAATATTACAACATCACCCCACTTCCAGAAATTCGGTTCGGTAAATCGATCGAAAAACCGCCAGATATCGCTTCTCACGGTATTTCGGTAATACCGGTTTGTAACCGTTTACCGGTAATTCGGTAATCGGTAAACCGGTTAAAAACCGGTATCGGTTATCGGTAACCAGTTTGGCCAACTTCGGTACACCGAAATCGATAAATTCGATAAACGGTATATTGTTTACCAACCGAATCCCACCCCTACTATAAATCTAAACCACTAAAATCTAAGCCCTAATTTTATAAATCTATATCTAACATACTACATCTACATGCAACATCTTACAGTTCAAAAAAAATCATTGACATACTAGATGTACCATCTTACAATTTAGGATTAGGTTTTAAAAGATTATGATCTGTGATCAAATCATTAAGAGTTAAAAGTATAGTAACATATTTCCAAATCTCGATAATTCGAGTGCTAAGTATTGTTTTCTCACTAGGTTAGTGAGGGTAGGACATTTGGTTGTGATTCCCTATTTTCTAGCATCATCACAAGATGCCAAATAGAGAACCGTAAAAGGGGAACCCCAATTAATTATCGAACATTGCAATTAAACTAAAAAGCAGTAATTAAGAACATCCGTACGTAAAATATGAAAAGATTAACAGCAAAAAGCCATTGCACGAGAGAGAGAGAAGAGGAGCACTTTTGGGGCAGCCCCAGCGGCTGGGCGTGGAGTTGTGCCTAAAAAAAGCAGACAAAGTGGCCACCTAAATTACAATTAATTAATTAAGCCCCTAAAGCCAGCTTGAGGCACATTCTATTAAACTATTATTATGTTTCTCTTTGCCGGCCAATAGTTTCACACTTGATGATGGGCAGAAGAACAAAGGCAGCAAAAACAACTGCGCTCCACTATTCTAATTATTCTTAAACATCAACCCCCAACATGATCAATAATGCACACATTATATCCACACTTTTGGGTAAACCATTACGGTGGGGGAATGAGTAGGTTGGATGAAAGTTCATTTGAAATCGATATACCCGTTTACTAACGAGTTGATATAGTTACGATCCTGTTATTTATTTATAACAGTAATTTTGCGCCTAGTCAAAAGAAAGTTCGATTAACATATTTATAATAAATTTCCCGTAAATTAGGAAGACACTATCAGTTTAGACTTTAGTAGGCACTTCTCACTTTGTCTACGTTGTATTTGTTCAGTACATGGGGATCATGTAAAATATTTTTTTTTTTGGAACTCGTACCAAATTTTCAATTAACCACTCTAATTGTGCACAAAATCCCGACGCTACCTTGATACAATCGACAATTTATAATTTACACAATAGCAGCATTTCGAAAATATTATTTATTTATTTTTTCTCTTTAAGAAGCAGAATGATCAGTATGTGGTGCGGTCAGAAAATACGAGACTTATCCAATAGGTATAAATAAGAAACAACTCCTTGTCACGTGAAAAAAAAAATATTATGTGAATCACTCAAATGACGCGCAATCCACACACCATCGACCATAACGAGTGCATATAAGAAATTCCCCGATCGTGATCCAACCACTACAGCATCTGCGAATAGTTAGATATCAAACCGTGGATTAACCACTTACATGCCCACCACCCGAGTAACCATGAACATTTCGTTACGTGACACGTAATCCTATTACTTTCCGCCGAACAATCCCATGCACATGACACAATCTATGTCTCCTCTCCTACAGAGAGAGAGAGAGAGAGAGAGAGAGAGAGATGGCAATGAGGGGAGGGAACAAACCTGGTCACTGGACGGAAAGCATAACACACAGACAAAGCAAGTAATTAAATAAATAAAATGGCCACTAAGTGCATGAACCCATATTATGTATTAAATTTAATTCGTTATTATACTCTTAACATGATCCTGAGTACTGGCTAGTTAGTCCACAATTGTAGACTAGCCAGCTAGGGTTACATTTTCTGCAAGAGCAAAAAAGAGAGGCATATGAATACATTATCTTGATCTGACACTTGCCAAACCAAAACCCCCCCAAGTAATTGTATAATGCCAAGCTTAGAATTAGACATTATTCTTCTCTATACATTCATTGCATAGTTCTCTACTTCATTATGTTGGAAGTGTGATCCAATGCATAAAACAAAAATAAATTAATACAAAGCTATATCTAACAACAACATTGGTTCTCTCTTGGATTCCATCACTACTCAGATCGTGTACATTATATAATGGCCTCTTCTCTTCCCCTATGAAATCAAATCAAATCTAATAATCACACATAATCCTTCTCTTCCCTTATAATTCTTTTCGTTCGATTGGCTCGCTCGTAGAATTTTTCCTGAACCTTTTGGTGCACATTGCGTTCTAGACTCCGCCTCCGTGACTTGATATAGAGTTTTGTACGAGTTGGTGGTGTACTGAACACCATTTTCTCAAAGACAGACTGCTTAATTGAGTAGATCATGGTAAGTTTTTGTTTTACGAAATGTTTTCACAAACCACAATCCGAGGGGGATTAATTACTTGCGTTCGTTAATGACCAAACAAAATTGGTATTGTAGTTGTCCGTCAACACCTCAGAACCCTCGTGTATAATATCTTCATTTGACTTAGGCGTGGAAATTGTCACGTTGCCAACACCCACTACTAAATACCGAAATAGCCCTAAACATAATCCTAGTCATAAATTAGTTATGTATTTCAATCTCAATTCCTAATATTTTGTTCAATATCAAAATATATAATAAATTAATTCCATTCAAAAATACCAATCAAATATAGAAAATCAAATACTTATCTTCCGCCAATAGCTCCACAAAGCATTCTCGAAATATGTAAAAGCAAACAACGGTGTCAACACTCGTGCAAATCAAATGAAAAAATATATATGAGCTATAATAACAATAAATTAGAGAAATGTGGTGCCTAAGAAACAAATAAACAAACTAAAGCCAAAAACTGAAAAAGGGGACGACTAAGCAACCAATAAACATACTACCAGTAACGAAATGTGCTCTGTCTCGGTTGTCAAATAGTGATGGAATATGCAATGTATAATTAAGGAGATCGTTTTGGTGGTTGAGGGTCTCGTGAGAGCATAGTTGATATAGTCTATCTTATATGTCGGTATTCTGCAGTATTTACCGATCCCAGTCCTGTAACCTTAATACCAAATAACAATTGAAATTCAATCACAATCCCATGAAATAATAGTGCATTCAGTAATATCCAATATCGAAAAATTCAATAAAGTACTCGATATATTCCAAATACCGATGATAAATTCCCAACTTACTAAGGCCTATTGAGCCCTCAATTCCTGCCGTATTCAAAGACTCAAGCTATAAAAAAAAATATTCGATTCACGAAACATGCAACATGTTTTACGAAGGTGGTTTATTTGGCCACATTGAGAGGAAAATGGTGCAACGAGGAATTGAAGTGGGCTGACAACGACTTATCTCTAAGATTGGCCCTTTTTTCACCCTCACGATCCATTTGTTGGGCAACAATTAATGAAAGAGACGTCGCAACTACTTCGCAGCAGCAGCAGCAATGGAATGCTTTGCTTGCTAAAGTCCTAAAGCAGCAGAATTTGTTCATTTATTTATATATCATTAATGCACACTGGCAAGCTGCTGCTACATGCCAACAATTTGATCAAAGGGAACTGAACCAAAACAAACTCAGCTAACATCGAACCAGGAAACGTGACTGAACTGGTTGCAGCAGCAGCAGAATGTTAGATCTCAACCATGAAAAAGGAAACCCCCATTTGGTATATCAACTGAATTGAATTGCCATGGAAAATGAAGGGAGAATATTTGCAGAAGCAGTAGTGGGTTCCTTCCTTCAATACAACTTCCAAATGAGGAAACAAAGTTGGAAGACTAGAATTAGCCAATAACGAATTTAATTATCAGATGAATTTTATCATTATTATATATTTACTTAACAGGTAACTGGGTAAATAGTGATGGATGGTTTCCAGCTATGAAATTCTTCTGTTGATGATGGGATCATTTTATGCTGTAATGCAGTAAATGGTGTCACTTTTTGTCAAACTCGAGCCACTGTTGTCACCAAATACAAAGAAAGCCTGAAAGGGTAAAAAAGCAGAAGAAAGAATAGAGAAGAAGAAAAGACCTCAGATGGAAAGAAAGAAAGCATCAAACTCCCAATAATGCCTACATGAACACATCACGCAAAGAGATCATCATAATTCATAAATCTCTTCGCCGAGAACTAAACCCTAGGTTATGAAGAGTCGGAAAGCGGTAAGAGCTAGCTTAATACCAACGAGAATCAGCACCAACGTGAATCAGTTCGTCTCAATAATTAAACAATGCTGCACAAAAATGGAACGAATGATCTTAGCTTGTATTTTAAACTATAGATAATAATAACAAGCTATAAATTGTCCATATATGTTGAAAAGACTTGTCAATGGCGTTGGAAATTGATGACAAAGATCATGCACCGACTCCTTCCTTCCAAAGTGGAACCAAACAGGGATGGATGGATGATCATCATCATGAGCAGCAAAGAAAAAAAGAGCTCCCAACAAAAGGAAAATAAAGAGAATAAATAGATCACATCACGCATGTGAATGTTTGGCGGGGAAAAAAGTAGTCATTATAATTACAACAATGAACTGATTAAACATGAAGTAGAGAAAAAAAAAAGAGCTAATTAACAACAATAAAACACAGTTATGGCGGGAGCAATTAGAGATGTCCCAATATCCAGCTAAACAAAAAAGAGGGGAAAGATAAGAAAGAACCCTACAACAATTAATTAGCAGGCGATTAGGGAGTAAACCAGTTATTAGTGAAGGGGGTTTCACTAGTGAATTAAAGAAACCTTTGTGTGCGTGTGCTTTTTGTTTCCTCTCATCAGATCATCGATCAGTTCATGGGATGTCCATACGTCGATCCTCCACGCAACCCGCCGGAAGCACCACCGTAAACATCCGACGGATCCATGATCGGAGACGAAGACGAACCGCCGCCACCCAAGTGCAACTCAGACAAGTTAGGGAAGGTCCCATCTCTTGTACTGCTACTGGTTTCGGGTCCTTGGTTATACAGAACTCCTTTGAAGACGTGACCTCCAATCTTCACCACCGCCTGATACGCGTACTCATCTTCTCCATCCTCCACCGCCGTCACCCTTACGCACCTGAACACCGCCGGTGCACGTACTTGTCCCGGCAGGGACTCCCTCATTACTCCAGCATCTGAACATATGAGCAGAAGCAAATCAGAAAGCTAACAAGAGGGGTAACCATTTAGTGTCTAATATTTTAGCGGATGATATCAGTTCAAATTGTTCACACATTTCGTACAATTTATCATCATATATATATGTTCCTCCCACAGTAATGTTATTATCATACATTGAACATCAGCACTGGCACCAATTTTGCTTCCCAGTAACTGCAGCAAGTATTTGTAAAATCGTAATGGACACCAAAATTATGACGAAGAAACATGAGAAATCGAAATTCAGGAGACTAAACCAATAAAATCTCCAATTCCTACAGTACCAAAACACACGAAATCAGTAAAGATCACTAGGGCATAATGATGAGCATCTATGTGATTTTACTTGAATAATTTCGTTATCACACTTCTACTATTTATATTGGATTGGAAGTCTTGCTCATTTGATTTGCAGTAACACGCTTCGACAAAGATTGATAACTAATCATGGAGGTTTTGAAATCACAAAAAGAGATGGAAGTTGTTTACAAAAATGGTGCGAATGAAAGAACATAATAATCACAATAAAATAATTCCACAATTGAGTGATTCCTGGTATGCAATTTTACCAACATGAGTACATACTACTTAGGAGAACAGAAAGACGGGGCTATATATACCTTGATGGCTGGAGGTGGTGTCGAAGCTCCTTGACGGAGTGGTGTTGGAAGTGGAAGTATGGGAAGTGGTGGTGGTCTGAGAAGCCGTAACCAGCCTAGGTTTCTTGGCACCAGAAGTAGACGCAGAAGACCCGCCGGCACCACCACCACCGGTCGACAGCTGCTGCCGCTCCCTCCGCCGCGCGGCGGGCACCCACGTGCTCTTCACGTGGGTCGCACAGTCAAACCCTCGACTCTTGCAGCAAGTCCGGCACCTCCGGTGCGGACAGTCTTTCTTCGCCTGGTTCCCGCAATCCTGACACGTCGCCATCGAGCTCGAACTCATCATCATCCCGCCACCGCCGCCACCACCACCACCACCCACAACTCCTCCGCCTCCTCCTCCTACTCCTTGAAGCAGAATCGCAGAATTGTCGTCGAGATTCGAAGGGGAAGCATTACTCTTCTTCATGCTGTTGTTATTGTTAGAATTAGAAAACTGCTGCTGGCTCTGCCAGAACTGTATCCCGCTACTCACCTTCCCGCCGCGGACGACGGCGTTAGGGTAGCACCCGCCGTCGTCGTCCGGCGGGAGGCACGGAGCGGCGGAGAGTAGCGGGATTACATTCACGCCCATCCCAACCCCAAGGGCGGTGGAGGAAATTGGATCTGAATTGGCGAGATTGATGCCAGCGGAATCGTGGCCGCTGTGGTGGTGGTGGTAAGGAGCGACCACGAACATGCCCATTTCAGGAGGAAGTCCATAGTTAATATGTTGCTGCTGCTGCTGCGAGTGGTGGTGGTGGTTGCGAGAGTTGGACCAGGTGGCGCCGGTGACAACGGAGGAGGGGGGAGCGGCGGCGGCGGAGGGGGCGGCATTGAAGCCGAGGGAGAGGTCGTCGGAGTGGATGGCTGCTGACGTGGAGGGCGTCCAGTCAGCGAAGGCCCCGGAATCGGCGGATAACAGCAGCTGCCTACCACTGCCACTACTGGCACCGCCCCTTGCAGTAGCCACAACTGTTGATTTTTCGTCTTCCCCCTCTCTCCCTCTCTATTATTATTATTATTATTTCTTTTCATACACCTCAGAAACGACAAACGATGGAGAATAAAAAGAAAAGAAAAGCAATGTAGACAGGCTCTAGAGTCTAGAGAGAGAAAGAGGAGGGAGAGGAGAAGGAGAGAAATCTGTATCCTACAGCCCAACCACGCGCAGAGAGAGGGACAGAGAAATAATAATTAGGGTGAAAACGAAGGGCTCGAGGAGATCTTGTAGGGAATCCAGAGAGGCGGAGGCAGCAATTATAGATGAAAGAGAGAATGAAAGAGAGAAGGAAACTTGGATACACAGTGAGTTGAAGCAAGCAAAAACCAAAAAGAAGGAAAATGAAAGGAAGCCGAAAAAGCAAAAGGGAAGGGAGTAGGGCAGTGCAGCTGGGCGGTGAGAAAGGTGGAGAAGAAGAAGGGGGAAATGAAATCTATGAGACGTGGGTGTTATGTGTAGTTGTGTGGGGTCGAAAAAGAGGGCTCTGAAATTGTATCAGAAGGTCGAGAGGAGGAGGAAGGAGAAGAAGTAGAGAGAGAGAGAAGCAGCTTAGGCTTATCTTCTGCAAGAGAAAAAAAAATTGAGGAGTTTTTTTTTCTTCTTCCTTCTATCAGTGCTTATCTGCTCGATCTATAAGTAGGACTGGACTGCTAGCTTGCTGCGGTTGCTGCTGCTGCTGCTGCTGCTGCCGCCGCTGTTACACTGATGCTGGAGATAAGCTTCTTCTCTCTGCTCTGCTCTGCTTCTCAGTCTGGCGCTTTCTTCTTTGTGCCTGTCTCTTTCTCTTTTATTAATGAACGGTGTTGCGTAGTGCCTTTTTGTGGGGAGGGGAAAGGAGAGTGTTTACAGAACTGGGTTTTGCTGAACCCTACTGTGCAGTTTGGATTTAAGTGAAAAAATGGAGAGGTTAGAGAGAGAGAGAGAGAGAGAGCAGGAGAGTGTGGGGAGGGAAGGAAGGAAGGAAGGACTGAGGAGGGCAGAAATTATCAGATTCAAGAAGGGGAAGGAAGGGAGGAAGAACAATAAGAAGGTAGAAGGAGAAAGGGGAAAAAAAGAGTTAATTAATTAATATTATATATTTTAATTGTATGTGGACCCGACCCGACCCGCTATCCTGCTTCTTCTTTTTTTTAATCCGGGCCCCGGCCCCCCGAAAACAAAACACACACACTTCCCGCATTCCCAAATGCTGCTGCCTCTTCTGTTTTCTTCCTTTTCCTTCTCTCTTTTTTATTTTGGGTATTTTATTATCGCTTTTGTATTTCTTTTTTTCTATAATGGGCAAATAACGTGCTCAGGCACCAACTTTGCACTGTTTTCTTTTTTGGCCCAAACTTTGCACTGCTATGATGTTGCGACGCAGAACTTCCAGAAATAATTATTGGGGCGACAAATTATATTGTTATATTTAACGACATGTGTCACTCAAGTTAACTGGCCCTGATAGGTAATAGTTCGCTTAACTCCGTTAAAGTTAACAAAGACGGCATGGTGAAATTTTGTGGTGGTTTGTTTGTTGGATTTGGATGACAAATTTTATCGCAAAATGTCAAGCACGATAGAATTAACGAAACTATAAACTTTCCCATCCTCCCTCAATAATATATAGTACACTTTTGTGTAATTTTTTCTATTTCAAATTTTCTGCAACGAGAGTGAAAGTAGGGAGGACATTTTTGTCTTAATCACAACCATTCACACTGAACAAATTTGTTGTGTCTTTTTTAATACAAAATATACACGAAGTTCAACTCTCTGAAAATCGCAGAACTTTCCATCATGATTATCTTTGTTCTTATCTCTTTCTAACTTCGTCGAAAATTCCCTCCATCGTACAATAGTTTGCACCCCTTTCACTTTCCTGTACAAGACCGCCTTTGAAAATCAATCATCCGGTATCTCTTGGCACGTCGGTTTTATTGTTGGGAATTTAAGTTGGGCACGTAAAAGAGTTTAATAAATAATGGAGTTGCAGAAGGAGGATTAGAAATTGAATTTTTGGTTGAAACATATGTCTCTTGAGATAAAAATTTGGTTATACAACGAAGAGTGGTGGCTATTGGATTTTTATATTTAAGGTTTTTACATCTATCACAACCTATTTCTATCTTAAAATGAGGAATAATTGATTGATTTATTGAAGTAGGTCGATTCTTTATTCAATCTACTGGAACTGATAGACAATGAGTGTCTAATTTTGTGTCTTATTACTTTGATTGAGTCTATTAGTATATTGGAGATAACCCTAATTTTATCGTTTGCTCTCAAGTTTTGATGGTCCCCTCTTAGCTGAGTTGTTAGTATACAGTTGACTTGAATCAACAACTCTTCATTTCTTTTTGATTAGTGACATATTGTTCATAAAAGGAGTGCATTAAACCCTTATGTAGGATTGTGAGGTTTAAGATTTAGTTTCAAACTATCTATGGGTCGTGTGGAATTTCACTAAACTTTTATACCCTCTTTCTTGACAATAAACTAACCAATAACATTTTAATGAGGGCTTAATTATCATTATGAAAATGAAACTAATGATATATTTTATATTCTTAAATGATGATGGTATTTCTCTGAATGTTAGACCTATATATTCTTTCTTTATGTATCATCTCGATCGAAGGATTGTCAATAAAATTAAACTGGTTGATTAGCTTAAACGTAACATAAAAAAATATAAATAATCAAATTTGAATATTCCGGCCAATGAGTCGGATTATAAGCTTGTAGATATTATTGTACATCCAAATTCGTGTATCAGGACCAACGGGAAGAAGAAAAAACAATTAGTGGACCATAAGAAATTATAAAATCATCTTTATTTTGGAATTTGGTCAATGGATAGAAAATCTTAGTGCAAAAAATTATAAATCCATCATAAAAAAATTAACTACACAAAAAATCAACTACACTCAAATCCCTATGGTAAAAATAATGTGGATTTATAAGGATGCAATGAAGGTCAGGAGAGCACTTTGCAAGTTCGAACACCGAAAGGGGTAGATAAGATTATACTTCTGGAGTCTATATGCGACTTTATTCCTTTCACAATATACGTGAATAATGCGGATCAACCAATCTATAAAAGATGGATGGATAAATTAAAAATTACCACCAAATATAGTGTAAGGACATGATTGAGCTTATAATGGAGAAGAAGTAGTTGTTGGAATTTGAAAGGTGTGAATGAGAATGAAAGGGGAAGAAGCCAATAATTGATGAGTTATCGGTTAAATCAAGTTGAACCAAATCGCATCGAACTGACGTGACGGTTGGAATGAACCAACCAGTCCAACAACTAAGGTGAATCAATGCAATGGTTAGACATTTTTAACGTGAACCAATGCAATGGTTGGGGGTGTAACCACCCACTTGAAGGGTCACACCCCTTCACTCACACCCCTTAATTGTCTATAATAAGCACCTTCCCTCTCAGTTTCGACACAAGTTTCCCAAGTGATGTTTCTAGCTAAAAGAAAGAAAAAGAATTTTATTCTTCATTGCATTTCCTTTCTACAAACACATAAACATCGTCGTGTGACTTCTCTTCAATCGTTGCGTTCGTCGGTTTCTGGGGTTTCAAATATTAGTACGCCTGAAAATGTACGTCTGTTCTATCCTGGAAGTAATAGTTCCAATAACCTTGGGTACTGTAGAGAGGAACTAAATTCCTTAAGGAGAAATAGTGAATTCCATTGGCTCGGGCGTGTTGTTTATACATGTGCTGATTTCTAAACGTGACTTGTGTGGCAAGAAACATACTTTTGTGAAAATTTTCCATAATAGTAGTGTTGAGTGTGCAAGCTTTTTTCGTGCTAAAATAGATCCTCCATGACTCTCATCTACATCCCTCAGCCTCTCTTGCTAGGTCTTTCTTCCTCCACCTTCACCTCTTGCTAGGTCTGCCTCTCTTAATTTAGAGTGAGCCAGACGAAAACCATTCTACATGTTTTCATATTTAGTATCTAGGGCAAAGGAATTAGTGAAGATTTCATGTTCGGATTACAAAGTGTTTTTTCCCCGTTGAATCAGTTACTCTTTTATTGCTAAAAAAAGAGACCACTTGCAAAGCACAAATGGCATACCAATACAACGAAAGGAAAGCTCGAAATGACCAGCCCTGTAAAAGAAAGATCCTCTACCCCAAACATTTCCTCCACAAAAAAACCCGAAACAAAATTGCTACCATTCTTCTATGCACTCTCCAACAGTCCTAATACCCTCAGCCCTTCTAACAGATCATCATTATCTCGTCAGACAATTTGCAGTTCAACACTAACCTCACAAACTAATTCCTCTACAGGTTTACTAACAGCACCATAAGCACGCCTGCACCTTTCTTTCCATATCCCAGCGTTGTATAAGCACCAGATAAGACTGGTCACTCGTCCCACCTTCGCCTTGCTGCAACTAGCAATACCTACAGCAACTGTAGCTTCCTAAGAGCCACAACAAAACGCTCCCATATGCAGTGCTGACACAACTTGGCTAGAGTAAATACATTTAAAGAACATGTGCTCTCAGGTTTCCACTTCAACACCGCAAAACACGCAAAAACCATCAGTCTGCTTACCCTATTGCATCAGCTTTTGCTTAGTAACAATGCCATTCACCATGATCATCCAGGCCAAAAAAACTACTTCTGGGAATATGACTCTTCCCCCATATAAGCTTTGCCCAATTCACCACCTCATATTTAACTCGCA